CGCCATTCCATCATATTGCCATCTCAGAGGAGTCTGGCTTGCTTTTAAATGCTAATGAAACACAGAGGATCCCAAGATGCAACATCCCAAGTTTCAACAAAAGCTCAGTATAGTGTGAGCGTTTATGTGATGAAAACTGAAACAATCACCAGTTGAAGTCAAGTGCTCTGCATTCCAGCTTGTGGATGCCAAAGATTTAACACAGACAGAAATCAAACCCCCATCTCAAATAGAGGAGTAGATAATAAACTATTCAGAAAGGAAAAAGCAAACAAACAAGTTCTCTTCTGGAATTAGGAGATTTCATCTTTTACAGTTAAGTTTGTTTCTAAGAAAAGAAATATTTTTAAAGCTTAACCACTTCAATTAACTTTTTGATAATTTACAAATCCCCATATTGTCACCAAAGAAATGATGAATATTTGCCCAGTACTGCATGGAAGAAAACAAAGCTAAGAGTAACAAAGCCACATATTCAGATCACACTTCTGTCATATGCCTTTTCTCCTCCAAGATACTGAACATATTGCTGCCTAGAGATGGGTATCAGTTAAAATGTCACATTAATCAGGGTTTCACAGATCACCCAACAATGGCAACATTCAGATGTTTCCTAGTGAATGTCCCTGAAACGGAAATGGTTTCAGGGTCATTCCAAGCACACAACCAAGGAAAGACCTGGGGGCTGGCATAAACAAACAAAAGAAAATACAGAAATAAAGAAAGAAACAAAAGAAAATAAGAAAACTAAGTTCATGGATTTTAAACGATTTACAAACAATAGTTTTAATTACCAGAATCACAGTGTGCAAATGAAAAAACTTGCAACAAATAGACACATCCTGAAACCACATCCTGAGTAACCAGATGTAGTGGCATAGCAATGACTTTAGCACACTGAAATGTCTCTACATTGTCCGAAATATTTAAAATCAATCAATTTCAGGCCTGCATAAGTGAAACATACTTCAACAGGTTTTTTAGCCCAATCCAGTCTTAGAGCAGGTCCTGTCACCCTTGACAGATATGTGCATAACCTGGTTTGTGCACAGTCCAAGAGTAAGACTTCTCACAGCTCACCGGACAACCTGCTCCAATATTTCTCTGCCCAGGGCATCAGGAATTTTTTTCCTTATTATCTAATTAGAACCTCTGTGTTGCAATTTACACATATTCTTGTCCCATTTACTGAGGACAAGAGGAAAAAAAACCCTTAAGATCTTTCCCCCTCAGAAAATGTATCCCAAGAATCATATACCTCACTTTAGTCTTTCCATTTTTAACATAAAGACCTTCAAAGACCTGACATTCTGACTTACAACGGTTTTCATTTCTCTCTTTTAGATTCTTCCCCAGTTTCTCTCCTGAACTGTGATGCTCAAAACTGGATGTAAAGAGCAAGCAACTGTACCTTGTTTTAACAAAGCTCCATCTAACCCAGCACTGTCTCCAGTAGTCTTCAATAGCAAATAGCTAGGGAATAAGTTTAGGACTAGACAATTATGTAATACCTCACTGGAAAATACAACCTCCTAAACTCTAGTAGTTTAAGGCTGAAGGCCTTTCTTGACCAGAGAATACTTCCTATATTTCTTGCTTAACAATGATTTTTTTCTTTAATTTGTCCAGTATTTCGCTCTAGGTTCCCCAATCATGAAAACCAAGCAGCATCAGAAGAACAATAAAAAATGTTTCCTCCTGCTCCACTGTGATATCCCTTTTCTAGTGCAAGGAGCCCTTGCCTAGGTAGATTTCCTCGCAGAGAAACTCCTTCCCAACTGGGGTCATAACTGATTCCCCTCCCTGCACCTTTTCAGCTTAACCTTTTTTCTTGCTTCGAGTTACGACTGTGACCAGAACTGCACGTGACATTCCAGGAATGGATGGGAACATTGTAAGTTTTGCTTTCCTCTGTTTTCTTAACACTTCCTAGGATTCAGTTTACTATTTCTGACCACTGACACTTCCAGAGAACCATCATTATAACCCCAAGAGCTCATTCATGTGCCATGACAGACAGCTCAGAAAAAACACGTGTAAAATTATGATTCTCCCCTCAGATGCATTTTGTTTGATTTACCTCCATGCAATTTTATCTGACATTTTACCACTTCACTACTCAGTACAAGGACCCTCAACAATCCTGTGCTGTTGTCCTTCATGTGCTCTCAGGGATTTAGCCCCATCTCTCAACTTGGGCACCTTGTTACGCACCTCCTTTCCCAGAGCAGTTACAAACACACTGAGCACCACGATGAGGCACCACCAGCAACCACCTCTGCAAACCCATCGCAGCCGCCTCCTCTCTGCTTCCTACTCTGCCGTTTGCTCAAGGGTAAGAGGAAGGACAGTCACGTGGGCAGTTTATTTTTGTTAAGAAGCTTTTCTGGGACTTTATTAAACGCCATTTGTAAGTGCAATTAAACAACATCAATTCAACCTCTCTTGCCCACATGCTCACTGGTCCTTTCCAAGAGCTCCAACAGATTTTAGATTCATGATTTCTCTGCAAAAACTCTGCTGTCTCTTCCCCAGTATATCACGTTTCATCATGCGCCCTCAATTCTGTTCTTCAGAACAGTTTCTACTCAGTTGCCTGGCACAGACATCAAGCCTACTCGTAACAACAAGCATAATTACTCTGTGGATTATCACAGTTTTTGTGAAGTATATGGTAGTGGGCACAAGAGCTATAATAAACTGTACTGTCCCTCAGCTGAGCAATGCTTGTGAGAGCCAAGATAATTTCCAGATGTCTCAGTATTGCAAGATACAAAGATAAAGGTAATGACCACTTTAGCTACCGCTGTATCTTCTCGTTGTTTGACTAAAAAAAATATAGATGGAAAGACTTGATAAGCTTATTTTTCCAGGGAAAAGTCTGAAGTGGGCAAAAACATAAAATTGATAGAGAAGCCTGAATTCAGCAAGCATCCTGACTGTGGGGGAAAAAAAGACAGACTACAGACAGAAAGCATGACATAAGCAGCAACTCTATTCAAAGGAAGGACTGATACAAAAAGGACTGATCTGACACCCCAGCATTCCAAAAAATGCTGTTATGTAGTGTTACAAAATAATTCTGTTCCAGGGCATGTAGAAGAGGAGGCATTTGCGATAAACCATTCTTTTAACAACACACTTAAGATGTACTCCATTTGTTACCCACAGTCATAAACTCATGTGACATAGAATCATAGAATCAGCTGGTTTGGAAAAGACCTTTAAGATCATCAAGACATTCACTGAATCTCAGGAGCACTGGAACTTGACTGACCATCATTCAAATCTAATCAGTGCATCTATTTCAAAGTGCAATGAAGAATTTACTGGTTAATCTATTTAGACTTCATTTCCAAATTTAAACATAAGAAAAAATCAGTGTATTTATTATATAATATTTAACAGCAGATATATTGTTATATATGAGAGGAGCCAGAGCATATGTTGCTTTGGAAATCATGCACTGGAAAACAACAGTCATGTTCAATTTGCCATAAAAGCAACCAAATCTTATGATGCTAGAGACCTGCCTGGTCCAGTACCCCATCACTGACAGTGACTGACAGCAAGTGCCTAGAGAAGACTACAAGACAGAGGCAAACATGGAGATACTTCCTCAGAATATTTTCTCAGCCTGCAATGATTTGTACTCCCGCAGCTTCCTAAGTTTGTAATTCATAACTGTACATTTGGTAGTCTGTGATGAATTTCATCTTCCAAGAATGTGTCCAACGGATTTCAAATCCATGTACAGTACTTATATCCACAGTGCCCTGTGGGAAGAAGTTCCATATTCTGTGTGAAGCTGCAGCTTCTTGTGCCTATCGCTGTCAAACTGATCCAAATTAGTTCCTTATCCTTACAGCGAAAGAGCACGATTAGCTCTCTACATACATTTTCCATGCCAGACCCTTCTGAAATCTTGGGCAAACACCCCTTGATCTGACAACCCGCCACTTTTCATTTTGTCAGCTGATCTGCAATCCTGTCCACCAACACTTCAATCTTAAAACAGAAAAAAAACAAAACAATCCTGACACAACCCCAAAACCAAACAAAAAACAAAACCAAACCAAAACAAAAAAGCCCAAGCAAAATTAAAACTCTCTCCTGAGTTAATACAGATACAAAGTAGCGATACAGCGTTTTTGTTACTGCTCTATCTGCCACGACTCTTTCTTTCACTTTTTCTCCATCCGTAAGTTTCATAGATTCTCTGGTATCCTTCTTTCCTCTTGATGCATGAAAAACATTACCAGCTTTTATGCCTCCACCTTCATCATATCTTCCTGTACCAGCATGTTAATACTCAGATGAACCTTCTACACCTACATTTACAGCTCCTTTATTTATGTCCTACCACCCCCTCTGGGTGCTTCCCAGTGTCTCCCCATCCCTTATGTCAGTGAACACCATGTATACTTCCTTCATATCACCTGCTTTCCTCTGCATCCAGCCTCCCACAGCCAGTCTGTTCCTCCACCAAAACTTGTGCTCAGCCCCTTCTCTCACTTCACAGGTTTCAAATCATTCTTATTCCTTCCCCCATCAGATATTTCAAAGGCTACTAACTCAGTGAAAGATGACAAGCTCTGGTCTCTCACACCCTCCTTTCCCTATGAATACCTATCTTCATTTTTCTCACTATAACCATTACTGATGCTTTCAACCTGCTGCCTCTATCCCCTCCGGGGGCTGCCATGATTTCTCCTCTTCTCTCCTCTGCAATGCCTATCCTTTGATGCCTTCCCTTCCAAAAGATCACTTATTTTGTTTCAGCTTGCTGCTTCTCTGGGACAGATGCCTACTTTGTGTTTGAAAGAGCACCTGGCATGCTGTGGGCATAAACAGACATGTAACTGTAGATCTGACATTGAGACTGCAGCAAGGCTGACACACAGCAGACAGAGGGAGGCTGCCCTATGATGAGCCACAATGAGAGCTGAATAATATAGGATCTTAAAAGTCACAAGTGATCAAGAAGCCCAAAGCCTTACCTTCTCACACCATGCAGCCTTTCGGTGAGTTACAAGCTTATGTAGTTGGTCACGGAGCGCCATTAGGTCTCTGGATAATTTGTCAATTTGCCCACTTAGACTGTCAGCCCAGGGGCAGCACAAGGTCACCTTTGGCAGCCCACTTCCCTCTACATGAGCATCCTGGGACTCACACGTATTTTCCTCTTCAGCCATATTATCTAACACAGTTTCCTAGAGGAAAAACAATAAAAGTTACTCGTTGTCAGAAGCAAAAATGGTGTGTCCCCCATCTTCTTGGTAATTTGTAACTAGGAATTCACTGCGGCCATCTCAGTATATAGTTGCTCCACAATTTCAGAGTTACTTTAAGAGATAACCTCCTCAGCTCACTTTAACATATTTCTAAGTTAACAGAAAACTTATGCTGCTAACCTAGCTTATTTTAGAAAGCACTGCATACTGTGAGCTACTCTTCACTACACTGAAGCATAAAGTAACAGTCATGGGACAGAGATCATTACTGCAGAAGCTCTAGGTATGCTCCTTCCCCTCAAACTCAGAGGTTGGATACATTTCTATGGCTTTTTGTGACGACCAGGAAGGACGTACATGCTTAACACTGTTCCGGACAGCACCACCTGGTATGTGGCACAGTGAGCTATAACATGCATGAGATCACCTGTGCCCACGTGAAACTGCAAGTTGAGGAAGACCAAGAGATCCCTGCCTCAGGCTCTGTCAGCTCTGCTTTGACCATAACCACCTAGCTGGTTCTATAATTAATTCTGCAGCTGCCTTCAGAGATAGCAACTGTTATTTGAAATACTAAAAAAAAAAAACCCAACAAATAACTCCAGAGTCCTTGAAATGCATGCATCTATATACACTGTGTGCACAGATCATGTAGAAACAGTTTTCAGGCCAGGGTAGCACAGCATAACTAAAGGACCCTGGCCTCTTCACTCAAAGAGTATTAAATATTTATTTCCATATCATTATCAAGAAGACATTAAATAGGAGAGGTCATAATCTCTTTTAAGGACATACTTTACATTCAAAATGATCTTTAGAAATTGAAGGAGTAATGTGAAAACAGTGAGAGGAAATTCAGCAGTTGAGCAGCTTGATCTACACACAGACAAGGAAAAACCAAATGCATAATTACTGGCTCAGCAGCCACGCTGCTGGAAGAGACATCAGAAAACCAGTAAGTCACCAATTTGGTACTGTTAAAGTCAAGCATCGTTTTAGAAACTATAAACACAAGACTCCATGATAGAAGAGCGCTGACTATAACGCTGATATACAGGTGAGGCACCTGAAGTTAAACACAGGCAAATGGGAGGGAAAGTCCCATGTGAGAACAGCAACAGCCATCAGAAGTCTGATTGAATGGCCTACAAGGAGACATTGAGAGAACCAATTTTGTTAGCCTAGAAACAGGAACTGGGAACACAGTGACATGTTAACAGCCTTCACTTATATAAAAGATTGCTATAAAGAGGATGGGAATATTTTTATTCCCCTCACCCCCTCTTTCTCTGTCTTTCTGCAGGTAGACTAAAAGCTCTGGCTTCATGCACAGCAAGAGATTTTTTGGCTCATACAAGAAAAAACTTTGTTAGATAGCTAAGAATTGCAAAAGATATCCTACAAAACCTCCTTTCTCAGTGAGCTTCAGAACTGCAAATTGGCACAAAGAAGCACTGAGCCCAGTAGCTCATGTTGACCAAAGGCCCAGCTCATGACAACACAAACATATTTTGGGCACCCACAGGCTAACAAACTGCATGGAATAAAACAAGACTTTTGCTGTGGTGGTGGTTGTTTTGTTGGGGTTTTTTTTTGTTTTGTTTGTTCGTTTTTGTTTTGTTTTGGGTTTTTTTTTGTTGCTGTTGTTAATTTGAAATTCATTGAGAAACAGAATTTTAAAGAAACATTACTGCAGTCACTCCATTCGCTGTAGTTATGTCGTGCTGTCACGCTCCTGCCCACAACCATCAGAAAGACCTGGCAGTAGCTATGCAAGCAACATCCCAGCCATCAGAGCAGCAATGCAAGCCAGGGGTTAATCGGAAAGAGAAAACTACTGTATCTTCAAAGCGCATCTCATTCCCATACATCCTACAGCACCCAGGAATAACAACCATCAGCAGCAAAACAAAAGAAAAGAATCCAGCCTATTGAATTATTGAGAAAGAAATGCTGGTTAGGTTTTTTTCAAGTATTTATTTTAGGCTTAACTCCAGGAAGCACACTAACACTCACAATACTCCCCATACAGTTCAACATGTCAGGGGCAAACATTTTGGTGGATACACTGAAATGCTGTAACATTTGCTGTTACATTTTGCCTGTTTGGAGCCAGGCTTATGCTAGCATTGATGCTTTCCAAATAACCATAAACGGTAGACACGTAAAGCAAAAAGCATGATAGAAGTAATGGCAATTTGAATGGCTCTGCATTGGAAGTACCCTTCAAGATAGGTGAGGTAATTTTACACTTAACAGTCAGCTCACTGATTCTCAAAATTTTGTAAACTCATATGGCTAATGTGGTGCTCTAAAGAATTATTTTCAGCAGTTGTGAATGGGCAAAAGTCATAGAGAAAAGTAAGATGGATGGTACCGTTTACACTCACTTGAGAAATCTTTAAGATGCACAAAGAAAGGTTTATTGATTTTCTTGTGATCATTCAACACAGTTCAAGGGGAAATCAACAATGTCAACACTATTTGCCTGGGAAAAATGAAGCTGTTTTCAGTATCAGCTGCTTGCAAATTTAGTTGTTCTCAAGTCTGCAATAAGGCTTCGAGGCCCTCTTCTGAAAAGCCATTTAATTTTAAGAAAACGTACGATTGCTGTGTTTAAAAACATTAAAGAGATAAAGATCAGACATTTTCATTTGTGTTAACTATATGAAATTCTGCCACTCTGCTCTGCAAGTCCTCAGCTGAGCTGGGTGAGTCTTACTGAAGAAAACAGAAGGATGAAGGAGAACTAAGGAAACATGCCTTACTTCAACAAAGGCTTTTTTTCTTTTTTCATATGCTGTTATACAGTTGGTTTGCAGCATTCGTTTCTGTGAGAAGGGGCCTTTGGAAGTGGTCAGCTATGTTAGAGTCAAGAAAGCTGCACCCGTCAAAATCAATGTGATTCATTACCATCCACTGCCAATAAACTGGTTCCAGTTGCTTCCACTCCAGAAAGGCTTCTAGTTGCATGGTTTCAGACTCCAGAAGCTGTAATAGCTAGAGAGAGGAGACAAAAGAAAGAAAATCAGGTAACATTGATCACTTGTGAACTAAATGAAATGTGTATTTGGTCTGAAGAACAAAAAGTGTCAGTGGTATACAGGACAATACCATGTTCCTTCACCTTAACACTGTAAAACCAGCTGCAGAAACATAATGTGAAATATTTTCCCTAGCATCTCTGATTTATTCCTCACCCCAAATCTACAAACACCACCAGCTTTTATATACATAAATGTGAGTTTCCATACTGTTTTAAGGGATCAAAGATTCATAATTCCAATATATTAAGGCCTAGATGTATGACTATCTCCAAATCTTCTACATTTCTTGACTACCAAATTAATCTATGTTTGTCCAAGAGTATTTTTTCATCTAACCATTCACTCACATATATCAAGGCCATAAGGCCTAAACACCTTCTCTTCCAGGCCATGTACAGCCTTCTCTCAGTTAAAACTTACATAGTTGGCCTTTGACTATGTCTCCTCATACTCAGTAGTAATGACCACAGCTGCAATAAACAGGTATCTCCAGTAGTCCAATGTATCTCCCTCCCATGCTGCTCCTGTACCTATAGAAATCTCGGAACTCCAGTATATCTCATCCTCTCTGCCTTTCCCCCAAAACCTTTCACCCTTATTCAGAACACTCAAACTGAGATGATCTCTGATGCTCTGAAAAAGCATGGAAGAACTCCCTTTAAAAATGTTAGGTATATTATAAATTGTCTGATCTGCTGCATGAGAAATCCCTTCCTTTACCTGAGAGCATATAAAGGAGACAGGTTATGTTCTAGCTGTACAAATTATAATTTTTTCATAAATATATACATAACATGCCTGTATGAACACATGTATATGGGAAAGAGACATCCTAAGACTATGTATTTCCATATCAGTAAAACAGAAGTTCTTGGAAAAAATGATAGATGAACAAATAAGGTATAAATCAAGAGCTTACTAGCTTTAACAATTTCAGTACTAGCCATATATTTGAAATAAACAATTTTAACACCAATCTGACACCAAAGGCAACTTTTTAAATTGACACGTAACAGTATATGGTCTCAAGGAGAATGGTAAGGACCAGATCAATACCAGTTAAACCCACTTTATATAGACAACTATCTTCTGATAGCTTTGTTCAGTTTAGTTCTTACTACATAACATATAATTCAAGTAACTGCAAAGCATGAGTTGACTCTGCAATTTTGTTCTGCAGATATAACTTTAAGATAAAGAAATCAAAAAAGGGAATGTACTTTGCAAGACTAACTGCTGGAAATTATGCACAGTTTGCTCTAAAACACTGCTGCATTCAAAATACAATTATTACACATTTGTTCACAGAACTGACACTTGGCATTATGCTTAATGACTCTGCTAGTTTCAAGCTCAGCTGGTATATGAAAGGTAGAAGAAAGGATTTCTGTCTCCTTTCTTTTTCATAGGTATATCTACAGCACTAATGGCTTACATTATAGGATCTGACGCTGGCAATGAAACCCAGCCAAAAGGTTGATTAAATATTCAGGCAACAGCTAAGTTACTTGGTTTTAAAGTAGCTTTGTAATGTGGTCATGAGCTCTGTGTGATTGCAGTATGAACATGTCTTTTGACAGTTGAAGAGGGCTGAAGGTTGGAATGGGGAGCTTTTCATTTTAAGCCTTCAAAAACAAACAAAAAATCTTAGTAAAAACGTAGTCGTCATCTTTAGTTTTAGTTTCACTAGAAAAGCTCCTGAATATTGCCACTTGCATTCATACCACAACTGAAAGGATGCGATTCTGAAACTTCACCAAACCTGTAAATGATCTGGAGTTAACTAACCTTACAGCAATCAAAGCTTTCTAAGCAGGCTCCTAACCTCAAGCCTTTCAGGATATTTTGCAATTCATCTTCTTTTTCTTTTTTCCTTTTCTTTTTTTTTTGCCCCCCCCCCAGCTGTTCCATTAGTTACAACTTCAACAGCTCATTTGAAAGCATCCATCTGGCCCACCTACTTATGGCATCCTCATCATTCACCAAAGTATTACCACCCTCCGAAATATCAGGACAGCAAGTGTGTGCTAGATTGTTTCAGCCATAAATCAGCAATGGGGTTACTATACCACTCATCCTAGGAGGGCAGCTTTCAACCTAGCTGGAATGCACCACGGCACTTCAGGCATGCTTCAGGCAGCCTGCAATAGCCAACATTTGAGTTTCTGCCCTGAAGGACTTAGAGCACTGTTCCTGGACACCAGCATCCTCTGCCATACTTTCTATGGGCCTTTCAAGACTCTGATGTTATTGTAGCATGGAAAATAAAGCAGAACACAATAAAAGCTAATTTATTACCAATATCCTTGAGATATGTTGGCAAAAAACATAAAATCAAATAAACGTTCAAGACAGGGACAGGACAACAGATTATATGCCTGCATGCTATTCATTTGGTCACAAGGTCAGCCTCCACATGACCTAGGGGTGACAGGCTCTCACTACCTGCTCTTAAACACCTATCTGGATCAGCCACCTTCTTTCCCCCAACCCCACCCTTTACTTAAGCTTCTCATGATCATTTATTGTTCTTTAGTTAAGCTACATATTTTGTGAGTTTGAGTTTAATGGCATACATTCTCTTAGGTCACTCGTTGCAGTCACAGCACAGCTAGTATTTCAGCTGTATTTGCAATAGTGGAAACTAAAGCCCAAATTGTACCTCTGCATCTTCCTCAAACACTGCACCTTTTCTTATTCATTTAACACCAACAACAGTTCACACAGAAATGCCTTTATATGCGATAAGCAGTTCCACTTCTGCTGCTACATAAACCTCTAAAAATGTTAGACAGATTTGCATACTGCAACTAAAGCTGCCTGTTCATTTTCAGTGACCTAAAGACCAAGATACTGTCACACCTCCTAATGAAATTTAAAGACTAACATCTGCAGAAGAGTATTAATTTTGTCTCATGAGCAAAGTGAAGCAGGAAGTCAAAAATGTGCCTCACATAGATATCTAAGTGATGCTTACGGATAACACATGAAAACTGTCTTTCCCCCCTTCATTCTTCTGGAGGAAGTTATTGCTCTAAAATACTTACACTGAGATAAAAAGTAATGACAAATTCAAATTGCTAATCTCTGTGGAGAAGTAATTCCATAATGAATGCTGAGAGCAAACACTTTGCAGTAACAACTCTAAACCATTGTAAAGAAATCATCACTGGTGCAAACGATTCACAAGCAACAGCTTTGCTATAGAGGCTAAACTGTGCTTAACAGAGCTGTCTCAGAGCAGGCTGCCAGGAAACCTCAGAGTGATGCAGAAGAATGCAAACTCTGTAAAGAACAAGCCTTGCTTCCTCTGACATGTGGCTGTGATTGCCAAAGCCAAACATCCAGCATCCAACATAGCTCATGGACATCAAGAAATTTTGGGAACTTCAGCTGCAAAAGTCCTAGGTGACCACACCTTCTAGATGGTTTTGGATACTCAGTAAGAGGCCAAAGTTGAGTCCTCTTTGGTATCCACAAATCTAACTCGCACCAAAATCATTATTTGAACATATTTTTAATTACTTTTTATGTTGAGACAGCAATCTTTTTCATATTATTTACTAGCATACTACTAAATTCATCGATGCCTGTAGACTGTTACAGAAATCAATATTTAATAATTTGCAGCATAATGCATCCTTTTCATAAGCTCAGTTCCAGAGAGCTCCCCGCAATGAGTATTTAATCTCTGATGTCCCCAGATCATAATTCAAGTACCATATCACTGGCAAAAGTATTTTTAATCAAAAATTGCTCTGCCTAAATATTCAGAAAATCATCCTACTGTTAGACAAAAAAGTCTTTCAGCAATGAATTATGTTTCTTGGCTCAGAGACAAAATACTGCTGATTCATCACCTATTCATGTATGACTATAGACAGAAAACTTGCACTGGACTGCACAAACCTCACTCTTAAGGCTTGAGACAGGCTTAGACAGGGGTGGCTTAGTGTGAAAGCTTATATGGGGAAAGTATTGAGACTATTTCAAACTTTTAGTTGTTTGGTAGGAAATGACCAGAGGAGGGCCACAAGGATGGTGATAAGGGGGCTGGAGCACCTCCCGTATGAAGACAGGCTGAGAAAGATGGGGCTGTTCAGCCTGGAGAAAAGAAGACTGCATGGAGACCACATAGCAGCCTTCCAGTATCTGAAGGGGGCCTACAAGGATGTTGGGGAGGGACTATTCCTTGGGGACTGTAGTGGTAGGAAAAGGGGTAATGGCTTCAAACTTAAACAGGGCAAGTTTAGATTAGATATAAGGAAGAAGTTCTTCACAGTGAGGGTGGTGAGGCACTGGAATGGGTTGCCCAAGGAAGTTGTGAATGCTCCAACCCTGGTGGTGTTCAAGGCCAGGTTGGACAGAGCCTTTGGCTACATAGTTTAGTGTGTGGTGTCCCTGCTCATGGCAGGGAGTTGGAATTAGATGATTTTAAGGTCCTTTCCAACCCTAACTATTCTATGATTCTATGACTTCATCGAACTTAAATTTTGGTAATCTGTTCTAAATAGTAATCTAGTTCTAAATACATAACAACTAAAAAAATGCAAAGAAAGGGGTAAACACTCATGAAAAAGTAACAGAGTTCACATTATCAGAAGTAAACCATAACTGGGATTAAGGCTTTAGAGACCTAACCAAGCACCTGATGAAATAAAATAATTACAACACAGCTTCCTTGCTGCTGTCAGTACAGAGCTCTCTTACAAAAAAAACAAGCATTCCTTGACAAATGAAAGCCTCTTGGCAGACCGGCTGTTAGGTGGGTGACATTTTGTTTAAAATGGCACATTCTGCCCAAATTTCACATTAGCAGAGGTAAGTTTTGAGACCTCATCACCAAGAACCAGAGAAAATCTTGGTATCATAAACATCTCAGGCTGGGACAAAAAAATAACACTGTAGGTGGACACGCTCAGTGCTCCAAGATTCAGTTCCACATTGTGATTT